AATTAAACTAAAATAAATTTAATATTTTTAAAAATAATATTTTATAATTTTTAATAATCTTAATATTTTAATTGATAACCATAACCTGTGCACATACTTGGATAGGAAAAGAAAATAGGAACAGAAAATAAAGTGAGCATGTAAATTATTTTAACATTCTTTCCATGATTGCATAAAAAAAATTACGTTAAAGTAACAAAATGTAGTTACATTGTCCATTTTTCTTCTCTTTTTTATTTTTTATTTCTACCAATTTTAGTCTACGTTGGTATTGTATGATAATTTGAGTACATGTATTTAGCTAAGGTGTACTTCTGTTCTCTATTTCAGTTTAAATTGTAAAATTTTGACTGTATGCGTAATTTTATATAATATTTTTATAGAATATAAAAATTATAATTTTAAAACAAAATTTTTAATGAAAATACTACACACAATAATTTCTGCACAGTCTCATAAGCAGAGTGATATTATAGTACATACATCCATTAATATTATAGGTGACCCAAATAAAAAGAGACAATCATATATTACTATAGTTGCCACAACATATTATGCGTGATATCATACATTAAACATTACATAGGTAGCTTTTCTCATTTTCTAAAGGATTTTTAACTTCAATCATGATTTAACTACTATATAGAATCCCATGTAAAACTATTAGGTTATTTAAATGAACTGCAACTTAAAACTAGAACCTCACCTCTTCAACCTTATTCTTATAGCTTAATTTTAATTATTTATCTTATTTTATAACCAAAAATTTTTCTTTTATTTTTAACTCTTTCTTAAGGAAAATATAAACATAAATAAATTAACTAAAAATTCTTAATATAAAAAAAGTTAAAAAATTACTATTATTTTGAACAGACTATTATGTACTCTTTTTTTAATATATGCCCTTAAGCCTGTGTTGAAAAGTATTTTATACATACTCTAGACTTAAACCCTTGAGTTTTCTGCAAGTTTTGCTTGATAAACTCTTAGGGCATGTTTCTTTTTTTTTTTTGGTTTCCCGCCCGGTATCTGGGGCTTCGTCCCGACTAATCCGGACCTGACCCGCGTCGCACACCTGGAAATGGTGGGTGAGTCTCCCAACGAGAACTGCTGCGTATACAAGGGCTCGAACTCGAGACCTTACTTAAGCTGGAACAAGCCACTTACCACTTGATCCAACCCCTCGTTGGTTTAGGGCATGTTTTGTTTATGGGCAATTTGATTGGGAGAATATTTTATTATAATGAAATTTTATTGGAGTTATTAAATTTTTTGTGTTTGATAAGAAGTTGATAATGAGAAAGTTGTTAAATTAGTCCCATATTTGGAGGGTTGGGAGAATCCTTTTGCTTCCAAAAGAGAGTTTTTCTAACTTATGTGTTTTTTTATATTAAAAAAATAAAAATAAGATTAATTTTATCAATTATTCAATTAAAAACATTCACATGGCATTTGTGTTAAAATTAATATTAGTTTTTTTATTTTTTTATGTAAATTAATATTTAAAGGATGCAATAAATGTACCCTTAGAGGTATAAGTTAGATAACCCTTACAAAAAATATGGAAAAAAAGTTTAATTATTAGGAATTATATTTGAAAAAATAAAAGTTAAAAATGCCAACATTTCCCTTATTTGTTGTGGTATTAAGCTATGAATATAATTAAATGTCTCAACTTTCCTAGCCAAACACACTATTATAGTTTTCCTAAATAATTTTTTTAAATCACTTACCTTTAATAGGTTATTCGGTTTGAAGGGAGGAAAAGGGACGGAGAGAAATTTTTTTATTAGGATAACAAAATTTGGAGAGGAGAAAAGAGGTACTTTCCCTTATTTTTCTTTAATTTCTTTTGCATTTTAGTGTATCTAAACAAGAGAAAGGAAGAGGGCCACTCCTTCCCCTCCCATTCCCTTTGTTTTCTCATATCAAAAAGGGGGGGGGGGTGGTTTGAAGGGAGGAGAAGGGA